ATTTGAAAGCCCAACCACAGAAATGCTTAAGTTTCCATGTATTGCTTGACAATGAAGACTATGAATTGTGTTTGTCACACAAAGAAAAGGCAAATTATGTAAAATAAAAAATAAGGGAAAATGTGTTTTTTGTTTTTACCCCTCAGCTGCAAAAGGCTGATGGGGTATTGACATATCCCTGCTGTCCAAGCGGGCAATGTGGACGCCAAGTCTGAGAATGCGATAATTCAATAATGAACCAATAGATAACATAGGTGTATCTACTGAAAACTTTGGATGAGTTCAAATGTCGACCTCAACCTCAAGGTCAAAGGTCAGATTTTTTTGAAAATCTTGTGAATGCAATGACTCTAGAATGAAGTGACATAAGATTTTCAAATTAATACTTTAGATTTTTCTACCACAAATCTTGGACGACTTCAAATCTCAGTGACCTTGACCTCAAGATTGGGGGTCAGGTTTTCTGAAAATGTTGTGAATGCACTTGCAGATAAATAAAAGGGAGACTGCAGTTGCATAAAAGATAATAACTTCTGCTGGGCTGCTGGTGTTGAATGTGATGTTTATCCAGGACAGAATAGGGCTGAGCAGAGCAGAGCTTGTGGCTGACATGCAGATCAGTGCAGTTTCCTGGCTGTTCAAAGCAAAGTTGAGCATAGAGTCCAGAGTGTGACTTGCTAATCCAAATGAATAAAGAATCAAATCTGAAGCAGAGCAGCTGAAATGGCTTTCAGGTCTAAGAAGCAGAGGAGAGCTGCAGAGCAGAGTGGATGAGAAATGGCAAGAAGTTTGCTGAAGACAATGCATATGTGAATGAGATGTTAAACTTCCAATTTTTACTTTTGCAATAATTCATTAGACATTACAGACTGTTCATATTCCACGCCTTCATAATAAGATGCAGCTCAGTTTAGACCTGGGCCTTCTTTCAAGTTTTACAGTGCTTATTTCTGGAGAGAAATATTTACTATTGCACAATATCTTCTCCTCTTTTATCTATGTCATGAGAACCTTACAGCCATCACAATTTCATATTTTATTGAAACTAAAAATGGCAGGAATATTCTGGAATGTTGGAATTTATTGTTTAGGGTTAACCATTACAACCTAAGATGATCAAGTGGGTGTGAGTGGACCTTGGACTGTGTTTACTGCACCCACTAAATTGACACGCCCAGTGCTTTTATAAGCTTATGACACCCAACTATTGATATCTGTTTTAGTTAACTGTTCAGGTAGTTTAGAGTTATCTATTTTAGAATAAATGGATTCTAACTTGTTCATCTATGTTTATTGTCAGCATAGCCATATTTGTCAATTGGGGATTGGATCACCAGGTCCTCCGCCCTTGACTCCTTCCTGATCTACAAAGCACCAGACCCCTAACCATCTCTGCAAGCTGTAGGCCCAGGTTGTGTAGGCCCAGCCAGGCCTCGTGGATTAAGGTCAGGCCATCAGGGTAGTTTATAGATTCTTTTGCTGCATTACAGTGCAGTGTGGTTGTGGGTGCAGATTTTATGTCTGTGTCTCCCTCAGACTGGATACATTCTGACCTTTGTATGACCTTTGTATGACCTCTGTTCCTTATAATCACTTGTATGTGATTTTACCGCCTCTGTCAGTGCGCCCCAGGGTGGCTGTGGCTACACTGTAGCTTGCCATCACCAATGTGTGAATGTGTGTGTGAATGGGTGGATGACTGTGTATTGTGTAAAGCGCTTTGGGGTCCTTAGGACCAAGTAAAGCGCTTTACAAATACAGACCATTTACCATTTAAGTCTTTCAAAGAACATCCCGACCTGTCTGTGAGGAAACCTGGACATGTGGTGGGAACACAGACAGTTCTTGAAGACAGGGTCTAGCTCCCCCTTGAAGTCTGTCAACATTGCACTTGCACCACTGTGTAAATCAGCATAAAGGACCTAAAATAAATTGTTTTTTGTACATTTCTTTCCAGGTGATACAATATAAACAAATCTGCTATCTCTTATCTTTCTATAAGTTTCAGTTTGAGAAACAACAAGAACCAAACATAAGAGGACAGAGCCTACGATTGGTGTTGTTTCATGTGCTTAGGTTGGAAAGGTGGTTGATGTTGTTTCCACGACGCAGTGGAATACCAACACAACGAGAAGCCAATCAGGTTCCTCTGAAATAGTTTCCTCCCACTTCATGTGATTATATTTAGACAAATCATTTCACTGGGTTTTTAATACAGCAGTACCAAGAGGAAAGACCAGAAATGAGGAATATATTTTATTTATATCTGATGCTTAGTATTGGACGTAAGTACATGTAGATTGCCTGCACTAAAAATATGTTACAGTCAGAAAACTTAGAAGAGGATTCGGGTGATTCTGTGTGTTGGGTCATACTGACAGGTATGATGTTTTCCTCAGGTTGCTCAGATGAACAGATTTTCGAGACAAAGATTGTTCGTGTTGGAAAGGAGATGAAACTGACGTGCCCCCGTAGGGAAGCAGGAACCTTGTTTTGGATTAAGCTTGTTTCTGGAGACTTTCCTAAAATCTTAGGGAGGTCATTTAGCTTTGAGAGTGTTGATCAGCGCATTAGAACTGCAACAGAAACCGGAGCATTTGTTCTGTATATTACAAAAGCACGGCAAAGTGATACAGGAGTTTACTTCTGTATGAAAACAGGAAAACAAGACTTTAAAATTTTGAATGGAATATTCCTGAAAGTTGAAGGTAAGTACACAAAAACGTCTTTAGGTCCTACAGAAATTTGGGACTTTACATAGTTTACTTTTTGCTTGTGTTTACACATTTATTCATGTGTAAATAAAAGGACTGTTTACATAATTGAATTTGTAATTTGTTTTTTAATAAACATGAATGATCGATGTGTTTCTCAGGACCAAAACCAGCTTTCACTACAGCTCCTCCATCTGATCCCGTCCATGAGAAACCTACATTCACGCTGCAGTGTTCAGTCCTCCATGACTGCCAGGATAAAGCATGTCCAGCAGCTGATACTGTGTTTTGTTTGAATGCTAAATCACATAAACTTCACTCCAGTTTGAATCATACTCATACAAATGGTGGAGCTGAATATGAAAAGAACTTGGATGGACCATCAACAACAAAATGCTTCTCCAGCTACTTGAGAAACGTCAGCACCTTTGATTCTCAGACATATTACTGTGCCACGGCCACGTGTGTGGAGTCTGAAGATACAACAAAAGGTGATACTGGAGGCGAGTGCATCATATTTTAATATAATGGAGAAAATATTTGTGCATTTGATTTGATTTTAGTTTTGAATCTAATATTAATCTAAACATGATTACTCAAATAACTAAAAAAATAATTTTAACAACCATTTTAATAATGTTTAAAGCTAATTATTTTCATTTTGTGTCGGCAGTCAACAGGAACAATACAGTTCTCTATCTGTTATCTGCTGCTTTGGCTATAAGTCTGATTGTTATAGCCTCTCTAATTTATTCAATCAAGAACCTGAAGACGCAACCATATATGGATTGTAATGGTAAGCAGTCACTCATACTTTACATCAATGTATCAAATAATACTTGCAAAAGTAAACTCATTTCAGTTCTCTGCTTTTACGTGACGATGTAGCTGCTGCTGGCCTGCAAACAAATGTCGTTCCAGATGGTGGTCAAGAAAATCTGCAGGTAAAGATACATAAAATATAACTCTGAGCTATAAAAATATTTTAATGTCTGTATGTGTAAATATTAACATGTGATGCTTCCTCAGGTGGACGAGGACTCGGTGGTTTATTCTCTCGCAACTTTTAAAAAAGTGAGCAAATCAAGGACAACAGATACACAACCTGCAGGGAGCATCTACACCGATGTCAGCACCCTTGTACTGGATTGACATCTATCAAACTCATCAATGTGGATACAAATGTTTATACAAAGTTTTTGGTATAAATTTAATTTATCATTTGGACAAACTGAAAGAAAATATGAATTTTATTTTTTAGGTTTTTGTCATAGCTTACATGCAAAGATAATAAATACACAACAGATGCAAACAACTGAATGTTTTTAAGTTTGAAAAATAAAATGTTTTTATTGTGATGTTTCACAATAATCATTTGTATATGTATGCATGTTTTTGTACAAAGTAATAAACAGTTATAAATAGTCATGGTGTTAAAATCACAGACAGATTAATCTCCTTATTGCCCATGGAAAAAAGTCTTTCCTAATTTGCTTCTTCTTCAGATTAGAAATTAGTGACTAGAAAGCTTCTATTCTTTCTTAACAGACAAACATACTGTTATGCAATAATATTAAAGCCATATTAAACACAAAATTCAACTCACTAATTATTTCTTGAAGATTTTACTTAATATTGATTGTGGTTAATTTTTTAAAAGTTGATATAGATGTTATTTTTGATGTTAATTAGCTATGGAGTTTGCATTTTGGAAACCTCTCAGTCAATGTAAGCCGCTTTGAAATAAATAACACATTGTGTTGTTTATTAAAAACTATTTTACAGTTAAATATTAACGGCAAACCAGGAGAAAAATGATTTACATTACATTACATTGGCTTTTTTGTTGTCGTCCTTGCCAGTAGTTACACTCGATTAAGAGTAGCGCTCTCCTCCTAAAAGTCCAGGGTGTCAACTTTTGTGAATTTCTTAAAACATTTTTCTCACAATCTGAGTAATGGTGATGGACAGAGCAACATACACAAATAGTGCAGGTTTTTGACTGTCAACTTAAGTGTGATGCATTTTTTTTAATTACCTAAAAGAGGCCTACGAGATGAGCATTGAGGGCTTCCTCACAGACAACCAGCCCTATCAGGTGTAGACATTCATCCAAGCATCCAACACACACACACACACACACACACACACACACACA